TGCAATAGAGCAATTGTTTGTGATAGAAACCTAGGCATTAGGTCGGGGAATTTTTATCGTGATGACGTGCACGCCACTTTGTTTGGCGTTGACTATATGAACATATGTCCGCAACGTCGTACATTTTTCACTACACGATATTGAATTCTTAAGAAAAGTGCTGATATCTGCATTGATTTCCACGATATTTGAAATTTGTTCCTGTTGCTCTACAGTAACCTGTCTTTCACGAGTGCAAATATTATGGGCTGAACACTTCCTGTATCTCGAAGTCTTTGGTAGACTTGCACAAAAATTTGAATTCTAACGAGCTTCACCGTAAACTAACAACATGTCGGCGAACTCTTGATTCGAGAACATTGTAAATAAACACGACGACGTACATATTAAGGTAAACGTTCCAATTATCGTCACCTTTAGCACCTTACATACCCTGGGCATCATTCTAATATATTTAATAAATAAAATACCTATATCATCTTATATTCTAATTGTCAATTTGGCTAATAAAAGAGTTATCATATCACATAGTAATAGTTATTTTGACCTAAAAAAAACACATCATATTTACAAAACTAATTAAATAAGAAGTGTGCTATGCCCGCATTATCGGCATCCTAAAAAATAGACGTGTTCCAGTTTTCGGCACATATAAGATCCTATTGTTGTCACAATGTTGGATAAGTAACCCAAAATATATTAACTAAGTAAATATCTAAATAGTCACTAATAAAATATGTTAACATTAATTTCAAAATTTTAAACTTGTATTGAAATAATAAAAATGTACTTTCTAAAAACTAAACGTGAAATTAATCGTTATTAATCTGTTGGTCACTGACAAAAAGGACATTGAAATTCTTCTGTATCAGCTTCTGTTAAACCAAGACAAAACTCATGGTAGTATTTTAGACAGGAATAACAAAGGCACATGTCCAGCTGATCGTCAGCCTCGCACAATAAGCAATACCAAGATTCCTCTGAAGGTTTTGATGTTGAAGGTTCAGTAGTTACAGGTCCATTGCCTGCATTTGTGGAAAATAATTTTTTAGTAACATTCTTTAATTTAGTTGTCGCCCTGCGATTAGAAATTCTCCTTTTAGAAACGTTTTGTGCAGCAGTAATTTTCAATTTCTTCTTTTTGTTTTCCAATTCTTTATTTTGGTCACGTTTGTGTTTCTTTCTATTTTCAGTTGTTCTTCTTGTTTTTTCTTTTCTTCTTTTTTTTTGATAGTATTGTTGCCACTGAGATGAAGTTGCTACAGCAGGTACTTTATTCTTCATTAGTTTGTGCTTAGCAATATTTTCCTTAGGTGTAGGCCAAAATAAAGTTTGTTTGAATGGAGTCGGAATAGATTCATCTAAAACATTTTGTTCTAAAGGCGACAACTCTGAATTCAATTTGGTTCGCCTGTAGAATCCGATTCAATTTTAGGTGTCGGTGTCGTTTTAATTTGAGTAGTTCCCATTTGTTGAAAGTTTAGTTCCAAAAGTGAAGAGTGGTGCTCTAAAGAGTTTTCTACAGGTACATCATGTTGTGCTTTGCTGGGTGTATTTGAAATTATTATGGGAATATCTTCAGCAATGCCTATCGAAAGGGATAAATTTGTACAGTCAATAATTCCTGTAACATGAATTTCATTGTTATTGTTTGCCTTCTCAGCAAATGCGCCTTTGACATTTGAGCCTGCCTGAAATTCAATATCTACTTCTAATTGATCATTTATCAATTTATTATTTTCATTGATTTCTGTGGCATCTATTTCGTTGTGAATTTCTACGTCTGTAAATGTATCGACCACAATAAAGTCTTCTTGAATTTCATTTTCACTTTGTACTAGATGAGAAACCTCTATTGCATTGTTGTTGCTATTGACAATAATCTAAGAGTCTCTTTTGAGATGTATTGCTCTACACATCTTAGGACTGCTTGTGCTTCTTTAGGCTGTTCATGGTTCTCTTGTTGTTTTTGTGCTGCGGTTTCCGTTTTAAAATATTTTGAAAATTTCATATTATCAACATTAAAGGGAACAAGTCCGCAGGTCCTGAAGCCATTCTTAATTATATCGGGAATATTTGTCATTTTTTGAAAAGTGCATTCCAATATGGGCGCAAAGAAGTCTTTGGTAATCTTCTGCCCTTGGTTCTCCATTCTCCATCGGTACACGCTCTTTTTCCATTCAAGCTTTAATGGTCGAAATACGGCCACATCTAGAGGTTGTAAAATATGTGTAGCATTTGGGCAAAGAGCTATAAGGATAATATCATTTTTACTACAAAATTTACTGAGGGCCATAGTTAGGTGGGATGTATGTCCATCCAAAAACAATATAACGCGATGTACTCGAAAAAGGTTTCACCAGTCATCCACCCATTTTCAGACTTTCCGATACCCCAGTTTCCTGGAACTTTTTCGACAACGGAGTTGGGAATTCTTTTGTAATAATTATAAACGATCATTGGCGGTAAAATTTGACCGGAGGCACTACACGTAACCAAAGTCGTCAGACATTCCTTCTCATTATTCCTCACAAATGAGTAAACTGTTCTATACCCCTTTTTAACTAAAACTTTGTTTCCTTTGGGTGTGAGGAAAAAGCCGTTTCATCACAATTGAATACACGACCGGAATCAAAAGTTATGTTAAGATTGTTTGTGTTTTCTAAGAAGGTCCCTACTTCTATAAACCACTGACGAATGCGGTTTTCTGTTAGGCTGTTTCTAGCACAAGTGAGGTTTTGGGAAATCCTTGAAGCCAGTTCTGGCTGCCTTTTTAAAAATAATTCGTACCATTTCCGTCCAGGCCTGAGATCTGCGAAATTATTAGGCCTATCCAATTCTTTAAGCAAGAGCTGAACACTATCTAACAACTGTGTTTTTGTTGCTGGAAATCCATATGCTGCAATCCGAAATAACCATTCCACCAGTAAATTTTCTTCTTCCCTGGTTAGTATGGTCCCTGGTCCACATTTCTTGTTTAAAAGTGTTCTTTCTTTTACTTTGTCCTGTAGGGTCGATCTGGGTACGTTTTATAACTTGCTAGCTGCTTTAAATGGCATTCCCGACTGAACAGCGTTAACAGCTTTATTTATATCTTCGGTAGAATATTGAAGTCGTTTAAGCTTGTCCATTGTGATGTAATTTTAATCTGAAAAAAAGAATCTCCAATTATCGACTCCTCATGTTCATATTATCGGCACTTTTATTAAACCTCAAATTTAAGCTAATTCTAGTAGATATATAGAGTGCCGAAAATTGGTGTGACATCTCATCGATGTATGCTGCATATAATAACCAAACATTTTTCATGATAAATTAAGAGCTGAAGCTAAAATTGACCTAAATCCAGTCCAATACGTATAACCAATTATCGGCATATCTGCCGAAGATTAGATCATCAATTATTGTTTACGTACCCATTATCGGCACCCATAAAATACACAAAAAAACCCAAAGAAAAACAGTTTTTTACTAGCAAATAACAAAAATAATAATTCCTAAACATATAAAACTTAATCAAACATTTACACGAAACGTCTATCAACAATTACAACACGATAATGGCTTACCTGTTTCTTAACACTTGCAACAAGAAACACTTCAGACAAGAGTTTGGCGCGAACTGACCACTATATTTTTGACTATGGTGATTACCGAAATTGGCAGACAGTCATTCGGTTCTGCAGAGGCGTAGACAAAGGTTCGCAGAAATTGGTGAAATAGTTTTATCGAACAATCTTGCGATAGAAATCTTATTTTTCGGGATTATGTAGAATTTGTGCCGATAAAAGGGGTAGTGCCGAAAATAGGGACGTTTACCTGATTTGCCCTTAGGTTAACGTTAATACCTGCGCTTCAGCCATGTGGAATCTTCGTTCACGACGCGCTACTCGACGCACTTGGTCCTTCACGCCGGATCGCTTAGCTCCGCGCCAAAAACACGCGCTTCAAAATTCGCCAGTCGCTGGCCGTCTATTACCGCGCGAACATCCCGGCAACTTGCCAGCGGAACTTCTGCGCGTAACGTCCATCTATGCGCGCGTCGTCCGATGGAAACTGGCAGTCTCTCAATAAACTTCTGGGAGTTCTACGAATCTCGGCACCGCAAGAAATATTTGATGATTAAACTGCATATATTTGTACAGTGCGAGGACTTTGAAGTTCTATAACTTTGGAGCGCTAAATATGTGATCGTCAGAAGTTGGATCTGTGATTTTAGAAGTGAAACTAGCGAATAATTCGGAAGATTTATTGTGATGGGATAAGGATTTAAATAAGGATCTCATAGGCGCTTTAGGAAATTTCGAAAGGATTTCCATTAAATACTGAAAACTATTTTTTGTATCATAGATGTTTATTTTTTTGAATTAAGTAAATTTAATAAAAGAAGGATCTGTCTTGGAGGTTCTCTTGGAGAAGACAGTGTGTGGTATAAGTAGATCTACTGGCCTAATAAAAGCTCAATGCTCAAGAAATGAGAAAATTCCTGAATTGTTAGCATACCTAACAAATAGGTGGTCGTTCAAATCTAGCTATCTTTGTTGATAAATTGGCGATCCATCTCGCAGATATTTGTACTTAGAGCATTCCCAAAAACATTTGGCGTAATGTAATACTACCATTCAGCAACTACTATCAGAAAATGTACAGTGTATCTGATATATTTTCATGAAAGGTACAGCTATTTGATATACCATTAAAGGCAATGCATTTTACTGGAAAAATTTTGTCGTATTCGCGTACCTAAAAAAAGGATTTAATTATAATTTTAGAAATCATATTTATTCGCAACAAAATATTACAACAAAAAGATCATACAAAGCAGGAGCAGGTGAACATTACTTGATGACTTTGTCGTAAAAAGGACTGACCTAAAGGCAAACAACTATAGAATAAAAGTGCAGGGAGTTCTTGAACGAGTTGCTGGAAGTTCTGAAGATATGCTGGCACTGGTAAAAATGAGCATCTAAGTTGGCCACACTGCAGAAACTCATCTGACAATGAGCGAAATAGACCAATGTGATGAAGCAACTTTTGGACCAAAGCGAGATTCAATTTACATAGTAGTGCCACTCACAATAATATACATAATAATCTTCATCTCGGGTACCATTGGGAACATCAGTACCTGCATAGTAATAGCGAGGAATAAGAGTATGCATACTGCAACAAATTACTACCTGTTCAGCTTGTCCATCTCCGACCTTGTGCTACTGATCACTGGCCTCCCGCAAGAGGTCTACCTCTTTTGGTCACGGTATCCGTACATCTTTGGGTCCACCTTTTGTTTCTTAAGAGGACTGTTTGCGGAGACGTCGGGAAACGCCACGGTACTTACAATCACAGCTTTCACGGTCGAGAGGTACTTAGCGATATGCCATCCATTTCTATCACACGCCATGTCCAAACTCCCTAGAGCGGTCAAAATCATACTGTGCATTTGGCTGGTATCTGTTTCGTTGGCCATTCCTCAAGCCATGCCTTTGAGTGTCGTCGGAGACTGTCCGCAGTGCGTTTTTAAAGAAACTGACACAGTGATCGGATACGCGTTTGAAGTGTCAACGTTGCTGTTCTTTGTGGCTCCGATGACAATGATCACTGTCCTGTATGTTTTGATCGGCATGAGACTGAAGTCATCCAGGACTATCAAGAAAAGGATCAGCACAACAGCCAGGAATCAGTGCAGGTCCTCAAGAAAAGTGATTAAAATGCTAGGTGAGTTTTAGTTTTAATATCACTAAGGCGATATTCAACACTTTTATAGAGGATGTCTCAATATTCTGTGGACCATTACAATTTTGCTCACCATCTTCAATAGCGACGCCAGTCATATTATTGAAAAGCTTGATCTATTATCTGAATAAACAGGTACTGATTTCCACGTAGCCTGAAGAACTTTCTAGTTAATTCGGCGATCAACGTATGACCTTGATTTGTTATTTCCATTCTATTGCCTAAAGGTGGAAAAACGGACACTTTCGGTGGAAAATCAGATTGATAGGATGGAAAAACGATTCGCAATTATTTCCAGGTAGCCTGTACGTGTTCCGAGAACATTGAGTTAATTTATTTAGGCTATCTACGCGTGGCCCTGATTTGTTATTTTCAATTTTTCTCATCAACAAAAAGTGGAAAAACGAACATTACTGCTGGAAAATCGAAGTGATACAGTGGAAAAACGAATTGTGGTGATTTCCACGTAGCCTGAACAAGTTTAGACAGGTTTGAGTTAATTGACCCTGAAAAATCGTTTCACATTTTTTTGTTAGTCAAAGGTAGAACAATAAAACGTTTGGTTGGTAAAACGATGGAAAATCCGTGAGTGCTCATTTTATCTTTAAATCTGACTAACTCTGGAATAACTTCACATGTCCTTGGTTGCTTTTTTTTTAGTTTTCCTCGTAACCTAAAGGTGGAAGAATGAACATTTTTTATGGTAAAACGTTCTAGAATCGTATTGCACACGTTCTTTGATAGCCCAAATTTTTCTGGGCTAACTTCACGGACCTGTAGTTTCTTGGTAAAATCAACCGTTTTTAAGAAGAACGGTCTTGTCTCAGTACTGCTCCTATAGATTTAAACTGTATCCAATCCTCAAAAACTTAGACAAAAGCCTTGAAGTCGGTGAGGTTATCGCTGTCTACGGGCCTGTTATTAAAATTAGTGTATCCTCAAAATATCGGAACGCGTAAATGGGAATCAGTATCGTAAGCGATAAATTTCTTGGCTTTTTCTAACTTCTATAATAAGCTTTACATTTATATATGGTATACAATAACAAAGTTTTTCTATTTGGTGGTGTGAAATCTGCTGAGAGAAGGAGGACTGCAGAATGTATAAGACTATTTTGTAATTTGTTTTACCCGCGCACAAGGGTCTTCATTCTGCGGGTTCTTATTTTAATTTGACCTCGAAATAAAATTACCTTGAGTATGGTGAGGATACTTTGAAGACAAATAAATAACATTATTATTATCATTCATTATTATTGGAGGTATGCCACTGTTTTCTCTGAAAATAAAAATTGGTCTTGAGAGTTTTCAATCCTATGCACGTTTTTCGCTTAACCACATACAAATCATTTCTCTGAATGATCATAACAATATCGTTCATCAGTGGCGGCTCGTGGCAAAATAAAACAGGTCTTCTGCAAATCCGAACTTACCTATTTTTTATATGTTAGTTGGATTCTGCGCTGCTTCTTGGCAGCAAATTTGTCAATCTCCTTCCCGTTGAAATTTTCTATGATCGAAATAAATTCCTTTTCAATGGACAGCATCGACAACGCTGTAAGGCGATCCTGGGTCAAAGTATTCGTGGAAAAAAAGGGATGCGGCTACCAAATGATCTTTGAATTGAAATCTGTCATTTGCAGAATTCACTATATTGTCGCATACTTCTAATGCGGCAACTCGGTGATCGTGACTGCTACTATTACGTCGTCTCCTTTTGTTGCCTTGGGGTTCAGTGCAAATACTTTTGGCTTCATTTATTATGTCATCAATTTTATTTCTCACATCGACAATACATTTTTCAAAATTATCGATGGCCGTTTTAACTTGCGCTGGCTCGGTTTTTCTCTTCTGCAACTGGTTGAACAAGATGTCGACGTGAGGCATGAAATGATGAAAAAATGTCAACCAAAACACGAAAACAGAATCGTTTAACATACGGCGAATACCGCAAGCTGCCTTGGTTTCATTAGTGAAATTTTCTTCTAATTCTTCGATGCATTCACGTCTCTGTTCTCAAACACTACATTTATTGTTCGAATATTAAAATTCGAACGAGTTGTTGCTCCTTGTGGAATTTTTTCCCCACAATTCTGTTCAGTACCTCTACGCGTTGAGGAGAATTATTAAAAAATCCCGGAGTATCTTTTAAATCCCCAAAGAACACCCGAACTTCAGCATTTGCAGAAGCAGCCTGGGACATAATCAGGTTTAACTAATGCGCATAGCAATGCACATTGTGAGCAAATGGATATCTTTGTTCAATTTCTGCCTGTACTCCAGCATTATGTCCGCTCATTACCGCGGCTCCATCATAGCTTTGTGAAATCAGCTTGTTGGGGAAATTTTCTATTAATGGATCTACGACGCTCAAAATATGCCTTGTGAGAGTATCAGCGTCACATTTTTCGGGATTCATATAATTTCAAAAACGTTCTACTGGTTCGCCGTTAAATACGTATCTGAAAATTGTTACCAGTTGGGTTTTCCACTTTTTTTTAAACACTGTCTAAAAACTCTACTAAAAATACAAACAGTAACATAATATAATTGCAATTTTTCGTAAAAACATAAAAAGTATACCTCTAAAAAAACAAAACTGTCTTTGGTTTAGAATTAGGAGCTAATAAATAAAATAGAAACTATCACCAATATCTTAATCTTAATAGAAAAAAAAAAACAAAAAATAAGGACAAAGAAGAAGCGGAAACGTGGAAATGCCTATGTTTGCTTATTTTATTCACAGTCAGAATCAGAAATTACTTCTTCTTCAGCTTGTTCTTCCTTATTTACATTATATAAATTCTTTTTATATTTGTTTAAATGATTCTCATTAAAACTATATGATAAACAGCACTGTTTTTTGATTCCAAGTCTAATTCAATTGTAAGTAGTGCAGACAAAGTTGATGGTATTATTTTATTTCTTTTTTTTGTTTTGTAATCAAGCATATAAGAAAAAGTTCGCTCAACATCAGCGTTTCCATGAGGCAATGTTAAAATGATTAGAGCCAGTTTACCTATATTGCGAAATAAATATTCGTCATTAAAATTTTTGAGGTCGTTTACAAACGACCAAAATTCAATGACATTAGTTTTTTTTTAAATTTCCTCTTTCTCACTATCACTAAAATAAATACATATTTTCTTTAGTTCCGAGATTGCCTTTTCGGTTTCAATATGAAAGGCAAATTTTTTTAAAACGGCGTCATGAAAAGTATCACTTATAATAAGACGATTGTTCATCACATCAACCGGTGAGAGAAACTTTAGCTCTGAAAAGAAGTTGTCTTTGATAGGAAATCTTTAAGGGACTCTTCTACCGATTTTTGGTAAAATGTGACACATTTTAATTTAAATTGTTCGATTGCCGTGTTATTGCAGTGTTTTATTGCATCCATTGTATGCGGACCAACATTCACTTGTTCAATTGGTAATAAGCAGTGGGGATCATTAGGATTTAGATTATATAATTCCTCATTTTTAAAATATTCTGGTCGCATAAAGTTTGTACATAGATGACGTACAAATCGCTCACTGTCTGTTGATATGATATTGAGCATAACTTTCTCTAATTGAAAGAGAGCATTAAATTGGTTAAAAAAGGGCAACACGAATTTAAAAAACATTAAATACGCCTTAACAAATGGATTCTGTAACTCATTAAGTATTACATTTGCTACAGGATTTTTGTCTTCAATGGAAGCTAACCTAAATAGGCTAAGCAAGATGTCCCACTGATCCAAAACTCTATCAACACATTTGGATAAAGCAAGCCACCTTGATTTACTAGGGCTTAAAATTTTTAATTTTGACTTTTTGAAATATTTCTGTAATTCTTCAAGAACACACTGCCTTTTTGGGCTTCTTGAGAAGTAAGAATATAAGTTTTGTAAAAGAGCTTCAACGTTGCTTGGAATCTTTTCAGCTGCCGCCACCGCCACTAAATGAGCAGAGTGGCAAATTCAGCCATTGACAATTATATTAGGATTATCTTTTAAAAGATAAGTTTTGAAAGATTCGTTATTGCCCATCATAACACTAGCGTTGTCGGAACAGTATCCAACAATATTGGTAATTTTTACTTGATTGGATATAACGCATTTTTTAAAAAGAGAATATAAGCCTTTGGCGGTACCTTCATCTGCGTTTATTTTAATTATATCTAATAAATGGGTTTTAATTGAATTTTCAAGAATATACCTTACAAGAATGCATAGCAGTCTTGTATTGCTCAGGTCTGTACTCTCATCCAATAAAATAGAAAATGGTTTATTTTCCAATTCTGAAATTATTTCGTCTTTAATAACAGGAGCCAGCACATTTTTAATTATACATACTTATGCATTTGGATCTTTTTAATTTAAGTGAGCTAGAGAGATCTGGGTCTTTAAAACATAATTGACTAACTCCTGTTATATGATCAACAGTTCTAAAACTTATATAATGACTTACAACTAAAAGACTATATCTTAAGCAAGCAAATATTTGCCGTTTTTCCAACTCACGTGCTTCCGGAGACTGAAAAGTGCTATCTAACGTTCTTACATTCGAAATTGCTTGTACATTAGTGGCATGCCTTTTTGATTTCGAATGATTCACTAAATCTAATTTTTTAGCACCCATATTGCTTTCAACTTGTCATTTTCAATAGGTCCCAACCAGCCTTTAAATAACGGATCTTCTAGCCATGATGAAGTAAACATTTGTTTTCGTGTCTTTTTCCTAACAGGTTGCTCTGGCTCTTGGTTATCCTGAGATTCGCAAGTCGAATTATCAGGCTCAGACCTGATTCCACTAGATTCCGCTCTTCTATTTTGTCTGTATTCAGGTTCGGGATGCTCCGAGTCCGACACAGATGCAGTCGAAGTGGATGGTACGGCCACGTTTGGTTTCACCGTTTGTTTTTTAGAAGGATTTTTATCAAAAAAATTGTTAATAGTCTGCTGTCGCCTTTCCATTATTCCTATTTTCCAGAAGAAAAAGCGTTAAAAACAAATTTCGCGACTAAGATTTATTTCTCGATCAAACTATAATATGTTAGATATTTAAGCAGTTTTGTTACTTACCAGTAGATTTAATATTGAAATCTGCAGCAAATGATATATCAATAAAATGGTCAACACAAAAATAAGAACACTAATATAAACGAAACTAAACAGTATATACCCAGAGCTGAAAAATACAATACAAAGCGAGAAACCTAATATTATGTCTGCCTGCTGAGACCTGTTAGAAACGATTAGTATTGAAAGCAGTACGTACGCCATCTGTTATTGAAAAAAAAGGCAAGTGGAATAATTCTCTTCTCTGTTCCTAGATGGCTCAAGCGGCACCAAATACACCAATTTTATATTAATGTGATAATAAATCAGACTCTGGCCACTGCCTATTTAGGATTTAGAACGTTATTAACGCTAAAACAGTGAAATAAATATGATAGTTTTGTATGAAATAAATTCCGCTACATTTTGGGCTAATTTGCTCTACCGCCGCTACGCCGCTCTTCTCAAAATAATCCGCTACAAATAGCGGAATTCCGCTACGTATGGCAACACTGGTAGAGAGAGACAAAAGCAAGCGTGTGTGTCGAAGTAGTGCACAGACCATTTTCAAGTGGCCCATGAATAATGTTACGCTGCGGTCGCGACGAAAATGACAAGTACACAATTGGTCCATTATAATGCTGCAAAACAGACACGACGCCCCGTCTTGCGGGGGCAGGCCGGTATTGTTTCTATTTGTGTGATAACATGGAAAATAAATAGTGATCAAATTACTACTGCTTTTTTCTGTTAAGACAAAAGTTTTGGCAGTTCTGCAGCTCTGCAGAACTTAAGGACCAGCCGAACGACGTTCATATGACTACATATTTAATTTTTGTATTTTAAGAAGTGGCGGGCCACTGGCTTCTTTTTGAACTCCTTACCACCATGTATCTGCCGACACTTCGTATGTAACTGACGCGTTCCTGGATTCAGTAGGCTAAGTCGCGCTAGTTTCAAACTATCAATTTTTATTGTTCTACGCATTAATCATGGTCATATCGCGAAATTCTACCTGATAATATTTAATTCAGATTGATTCAGGTGAGGGTGACATAATGATCAGGAACGCCTAAAAACGCGATTTTTTATGCGATTATACAAATGTTGAGTGTCTTTTTTCGTATATTGTTATACCAGTTACATATACAGAGAATTGTTAATATTTGTAGTGAAGGTCGGGAGTGGAGCATGCCAGGGTATACATTTTGGTAATGTTCAAGCATATTGTGTCTAAATATTAATTTCGTATGTTCCAAATGTGGATGGCTTGTCGATTTGCTGAAGACGTTTTTGACGGAACACTGAAATCCCAAATACCTTGTATCGATCCATATATTGCACCTCAACATTATATAGCAAGTATAGTAAGTTTTGGGAAAATTCAGTTTTTTCCGTCCCTCTGCAGAACTTTATATCTTCCCCGTTTTCTTCGCTACCCAAATCCGCAACTTTGCGTCAGATGAAAGGAAACCCACATATATTTTACATACTTGTAACATTACACTCATATTCAGCAGTGAATATATCGGCGTGAGGGATCTCTTGCCGAGACCGTGCTAACGATGTCAAAGTAGCTGTACGCTCTCGAGCAGACATCGAGCGAAAACACCATTAACCTAACCATCTTTGCCTACATATGATCTCAGATTGTCCGTGATACAGCTCAGAACTAAATTAAAATTGAGGTAGTTTCGGCTGTCATAAGTCTGAGCTTTATTTGTTTTATATTCATAGAGAAGCATATCTGGCTGAATGATGAAGCCAACCAGAAGAAATACGTATCGCTCGGGCTACCTATCCTATTATCTGCTCGAATCCACTTTCATCCTTTTTGCGGATT